ATATTTGTTCTTCCGATCCATGAGCTTGGAATATTTTTCCATCTTTTGGTGTCTTCTCCAATTTCTTTCATAAGCTTTCTATAGTTTTCACTGTATCGAATTTTTACCCCTTCGGTTAGGTTTATCCCTAGATATTTTATGGGTTTTGGTGCAATTGTAAATGGAGTTGATTCCTTGATTTTCTGCTGCTTCATTATTGGTGTATAAAAATCCAACCGATTTCTGTGCATTGATTTTATATCCTGCGACTTTGCTGAATTCATGGATCAGTTCTAGCAGGGTTTTTTTTTTTTTTTTTTTGTGGAATCTTTTGGATTTTCCAGATAGAGTATCACATCGACTGCAAAGACTGAAATTTTGACTTCCTCCTTGCCGATTTGGATGCCTTTTATTTCCTTGTCTTGTGTGATTGCTGAGGCTAGGACTTCCAACACTATGCTGAATAACAATGGTAAGCATGGACATCCTTGTCATGTTCCTGACCTTAAGAGGAAAAGTCTCAATTTTTCCCCATTGAGGATGATATTAGAAGTGGGTCTTTTGTATCTAGCTTTTATGATCTTGAGGTATGAATCTTCTATTCCTCCTTTCTTGAGGGATCTTATCAAGAGAGGATGATGTATTTTGTCAGATGCATTCTCTGCATCTATTGAGAGGATGATGTGGTTCTTACTCTTTATTAATGTGATGTATCACATAGATTGATTTGCAGATATTGAACCAGCCCTGTGTCCCAGGTATAAATCCCACTTGATCGTGGTGAATAATTGTTTTAATGTATTGTTGGATCTGCTTGGCTAGTATCTCGTTGAGAAGTTTTGCATCCATTTTCATCAGGAAAATTGGTCTGTAGTCCTCCTTTTAAGTGGGGTCTTTGTCTGGTTTTGGAATCAAGGTAATGCTGGCCTCGTGGAATGAGTTTGGTCGCTTGCCTTCCATTTCTATTTTTTTGGGAAAGCTTCACATGAATAGATGTTAACTCTTCTTTAAATATTTGGTAGAGGTCCACTGGAAAGCCATCCGGCCCTGGACTCTTGTTTTTTTGGGAGATTTTTGATTAATAATCCACTTTCTTTACTGGTGATGGGTTCAAAGTTTCTATTTCTTCCTGTTCCACTTCTGGTAGCTTATATGTTTCTAGGAATTTATCCATTTCTTCCACATTTCTCAATTAAACGGAATATAATGGCTCATAATATTCTCTTAAGATTGTTTTTTATTTCTGCAGTGTTGGTTGTGATCTCTCCTCTTTAATTCTTAATTTTACTTATTTGGGTCCTTTCCTTTTTCATTGTGATCAATCTGGCTAGGGGTTTAGCAATTTTGTTACTTCTTTCAAGGAACAAGCTCCTGGTTTCATTGATCTGTCCTACTGTTTTCTTGACTTTGGTATCATTGGTTTCTGCTCAAATCTTTATTTTTTCCTTTCTGCTGCCTGTTTTGGGCTTTATTTTCTGTTCTTTCTCCAGCTCTTTAAGGTGTAAGGTTAGGTTGTGTATTTGAGACCTTTCTTCCTTCTTTAGCAAGGCCTGGCTTGCTATATACTTCCCTCTTATGACTGCCTTTGCTGTATCCCAGAGGTTTGGGGCTGCCGTGTTAGATCTATATTGTAAAAGAGAGGGGGAATGGTCAAAATTTCCTGATATAAGACTTGTAAGTTAGGTGCCAACCTTCTGGCCTTTAAAGGGGCTGAGAAAAGCAAGTTCTTGCAGACTTGTCCTCTGAGGGCTCTTCTCAGGAAAAGCTACCTGTTAGACACTCATGCCCTCCTTATCCAGGATTGTCAGAGATGAAAAATCTTCCCCTTGAAAGGAAGGCACATTCAATCTATCTATTGACTCAAATGCTTCATGGTGAATTTGGTCTCATGAAAGTTCCATTTTCCTTGCAAGATTCGAAGCAAATAAAAAGAACCTAAGCAAAGTTGCAGACAACCCTGATCAATATATAGAAGTGTTCCAAAACCTAACCCAGGGTGCTGAGGAAAGAAAAAAGACAGGCCATCCCTAACAAATGGGACTCTAACACTCTCTGTTTTTCCTAATACATTTTTAGTCCATCCTGAGCACATCCCTAGTTACTCTAACTGTATGTGGGGGCTTCTTCCTCATTCACTTCCTGGGTCATTGACTATGGTGATTAGAGCCAACTATCTCTAGTTAGTCTACCTCAGAATGGATACTTTAAAGAATGTTCCCAAGCCACTGCTGAAACTCCTTTTAATTGGGGAAAGTTCTCTGTCTTCTCTAGCCCAACATGTACTGCCTAATTCCACTTGGTGGAAAAACCTGGCGTCTGCTCATCTGTTCACGTTGACAGACTTTAGGACCAGGAGACCTCTCTGTCTGCTCTCTGGGCTTTTATCTGCCTTAGGCTTTTGGGCAGAATCTTGCCTCTTCTGCCTTCTTCTCCCCCTTCTCCTGTTTCTGCACCACCTTGGGTGAGGCCTGCATAACTGGCTGCTGTACCATCCTCAGTGCCTCAGGCATCATTGGTTTCTCCTCCCACCCGCTGATGTCAGGGAGCAAAGAGCATTCCCTTGGGCCACCACTTCAGATCTCCCCACCAGTGTGCCAGGTAAAAACTGACAATAGGGAACAAACTGATTGTCTTTTAAGCGGATGCAAGAGAAACTTTGGTATTTAAATGAATTCAGGTTTGTTGGTTTAATTAAAAATAGAGTCAGCATTAAATATAAAACTTTTTATTCTATCTAGGTTTACTGAAGGTCAAATTAGCTTATGTTATCTCTGTTGCAATTTCTTCGCAAAAGGGTGACTTAAAATGATGATTAATTCTTAAAGTTTTCGTGGGTAATTGTTAAGATAGCTTTCAAAGTCTTTGGCAACCTGAAACTTAGAAGTTTTGCTAGCATGATAAGTTGAAATTCAATTCATTGGACATCTAGGTCTTTTCCAAACGAGATAAAGTGCTAAAGCATTGACTGCTAAACATAGGTTTGTGCTTTTTACTTCTTATTGCACAGAAACAAAGGATATTTGGGTCTTTTGGAAAACATGCTTTTGCTTAATTGATAATTTTGCCATCTGCCGAATTCTGTAACAGTTCACAATTGGTTACTACTTAGTTTTCATTGGAGACTAAGGTTTCTTAAGAGTTAAAATTCTGCTTCATGTGGGGCGCCTGGGTGGCGCAGTCGGTTAAGCGTCCTGACTTCAGCCAGGTCACGATCTCGCGGTCTGTGAGTTTGAGCCCCGCGTCGGGCTCTGGGCTGATGGCTCGGAGCCTGGAGCCTGCTTCCGATTCTGTGTCTCCCTCTCTCTCTGCCCCTCCCCGTTCATGCTCTGTCTCTCTCTGTCCCAAAAAGAAATAAAAACGAAAAAAAAAATTCTGCTTAATGTAGTTAAGACTGATAAGAAAGTTACTATGTAGAAAAGTAGGATATATGTAAGGAAGGGGAATACATTTTTTTGAAGGTAAAAGAAGGTAATTTTGTCCCAAATGAGACTGGTTGTTTGGAGAAAAGGGGCTTAGGTCACAAGCTGAAAGGAAAGGAAAGTTGTAGAAGGTTTGTGAAGGGAAATCTTTGGAAATAAATTTTGTATGTGCTCAGGATGGACTAAGGTTAAAATAAATGGATTTTAAAAGTACACTGGTATAAGATTAAAATTCTGCCCTAGTATCTGTTAAAAAAGCACAGGTTTCTTGGATTGTCAGTATGCTTTTGACTAAAAAAAAAAGGTAAACAAAGGTTTTCCCCCACTTCTGTCTGCCCAAAAAGATGGGGGAGAATGTGATTTTAACCAAAAAAGCAGGACAGCGTGCCCTTTTGATTTGTTTTACTCAAGCCTTGAAATGTGCCCTCCTTTGATCCAAAGGCTGGGGAGATGGTGACAGTGTCCTCGCTGCCAGACTCCAAATGCTCCATATTTGGGTTGTTTCTGTTTCGAACAGGAATGGATGCCTGTGCCATTTAAGGGATAGATCACTATAATATATAAAGGGCTTTCACTAGAATACACAGGAGCCATTTTGCTACACTTAGCCCAGTGTCCTCCAATTTGTAACAGCCTAGATACTCGAAATGGCTAGAACACATTTCTGTGGGCACTGCTGAAAAAGGCAAGGAAATAGACCTCTCCTTTGGCCCTTTTAGCCCTCTGGGCAGCCAATTTTATCCTTACAAAAAATGGTTTTCACAAGCCTTTTAAAATATATTTGTAAAGATGATTATTCTTGGGCCAAAATAAAATGAGTGCATCCTTCTAAACCAGGGAAGTCTTGCTTGGTCGTAGTCGATACCCCCAAAGTCCTGCAGGCAGAAAACAGAGCGATAGGAGAAATCAGGGAAGACAAGGTCAGTTCTTGGAGGTAGGGTCAACTTGGACAAGAGTGACTGCTCCCAGCACCTCACGAGACTGACAAAGCTTTTGGCTGCCAGTGGAGTAGCCAGGCAAAATGCAGGGCCAGGAGATGAGGCTTCTTCTCCTGTCCAACTATCAGGATCAGGACATGAAGCTTCTCCTGGCCAGCTATGGGACAATTAACATAAGGGGTGCCTCTTCCTCCTTTTCCTATAGATGGGCAATTCTCCAACCAAGGCCAATACTCCTGTGGGATGCATTCTGAAAAGTTGGGATGATTTTGATCCATAAATTCTGAAAGAAAAAGATAAAGACAACTCGCTAATTATCATGGGGATGGAGGCCCTATAGGGAACTTTTGGTTTCCTACTGGGGTGCAGGTAATTACATCCCAAGATCCTAATTGAGACTATGACCATCCCATTAAGAAATGGTATTGCCACCACTTCCAAGCTTGTGCTTTAGAGACATTAAGGAGGTCTAAGGTTAAGCCCTTGAATTATGTTAAATTAGCCACTATTTTACAAACACAAAATGGGAGCCCGATGGCCTGCCTAGAGAGGTTTAGGGAGGCTCTCATGAAATATATGGCTATCTCCCCTGACACCCCTGAGGCTGAGATGATTTTACATGACAAATGTGTCACTCATTTGCCCCCCAGATATTCAGAGGAAGATGCAAAAATTGGCGATTGGCCTGGAAGGGACCCTGGAGGAGGTGGTATGAGCTGCCAATTGGGGACATTACAACTGAGATCAAAACAAAACAAAAAAACAGGAAAGGAGCCTTAAGAAAAATGGGAGGCCTTAGTCATGGCCTTACACACTATGTCAGAGGAAGATGGGCACCAGAGGCAGGGCCTGAGGTGTGGCCTGAGCACAAGGTGACTGCCTCCTCTCTGTAGACAGAGAAGGTGGGGGAAGGGAAGAAGAGAACTCAGAAGCCCCTTTTTGTCTTTTTAATCTATGCTTGCATCATTAAGATTGTATTTGGAAAGATATAATTGAAAAAAAAATTTTTTTTAATCTTGATTTATATTTGAGAGAGAGAGACAGAGTATGAGCAGGGGAGGAGCAGAGAGAGAGGGAGACACAGAATCCGAAGCAGGCTCCAGGCTGTGAGCTGTCAGCACAGAGCCCAACTCGGGGTCAAACTCGCAAACCGTGAGATCATGACCTGAGCCAAAGTCGGACGCTCAACCGACTGAGTCATCCAGGCACCCCAAGGAGAGATGTAATTTTTGATTCTTGATAGCATTTGGAAGCTTCAAAATGCCTACTGAAATAAGCATCTCATTCAGTTTTGTCAATTTTAGAACCCTGGTTGTCCAGTTTAGCTTTGAGAAAATTAAGTTTGAAATGACTGAAAGTTCCCCATCGTGGCCATTGAAGTTCTAAATTATTTCTGGTTAAGTCAGTCTATTTATTTATAAATGTGCATACAGAGAGGGACCATAGTTTTTAAACATAAAACCATCCAGAGTCCCAGTAGGCAGGATGCCCTCAAAGCATTTTGATGTCTGGGATCCCATTTCTTAGAAGGTTTTCAGGGACAGCCTGTTTCCAGAAGGAATCAGACCAAAGGCCAGCACAGTTCCAGAGAGAACAGTTGAGCCCCAAAAAAGATCATAGACTGAAAGCTAACACAGTTCCAACAGGCAGAGTTCCAATGGGAACAGTACAGTTGCAAAGGGAAATAGGAACAAAGGCCGTCACAATTCCTACTGGCACAGTTCCAACTGGAAAGGTCTGATTTTGAAAAGGACTCAGAGTGAGGGCTAGTCCAGTTCCATTAGGAGCAGTCTCATTCAAAACAGGAACTAGACCAAAAGCTAGCACAGTTCCTTTAGACTTAAGGCCAAATGAGTACCCTCTGAGATGATTAAAGAAAAAAAAAAAAAAAACATCGTAAATAGATCTCAAATACATCTTGGAGAACTGAGACATGAGGTGTGGAGCTTGAAAACCAGGAGAAAACTTGTCCTTAAAGCCCCAGGGTAGGCATGAAAGCAGCTCGGAAATGTCCATGGGTACTGCACCTGTTGGCTAGCCAGCTCTGGAGCAGTTGGGGTCTTCTCTGGAGCCCACTTCTGATCACCAAGAATTGTTAACCTTAAAAATAGAAACTGCCAGTTATTTTACCAGAAGAAGATGGTTTTATTCAGGAATGAAAAATTGTACTCTGGGACATACAAGCCGTGGCAAAACCATAAGCAAGGACAGGAAACAAAGTCGGGGGGGGGGGATGCTTTTTTTAAGGAGAAAAAGGGTAAGTAGGAAAGTCCGATTAAAAGTCCATTGGTGTAAAATGGTGGTTTGAAATGTGGTGGCTTCTCATTGTCTGAGCTGTTGCAGAGATGGCGGTAGTGAGGAAAGAGTTTCGTCCCTCTGGCTGGAGTAGTCGATTAGTATCCACATGCAAGGTCAAGTCTTTGTAAGGTCAAGACCTTCTTTTCCTGTTGTGTGAGCCTGAGCTCTTCCCAATCTGGAAGAGCAAACATTAGAGAACCAGTAATGTTCCAAACAAAAGTCATAAAAATTACAATTTTTTTCAGTTCACTTAGTGTCATGTTAGTAATCTTTTGTTCAGTTTGAATGCAGCTTTTTAGTTCTAGAAATTGTTGCCCATTTCACTTTTATGATTTTAAAGATATCAAAAAGCTGTATTTGTTTTTTTTAAAGTTCTTTTTATGAGCCTCCTTGAAGATGAAACTCATTTTGCAAGTGACAAAAGACTGTAATGCACTTGACAAGAAAATTCAGTTATTTCTGTAACACAGAACACTTCAATAATCAGAATATCAAGTCATAACCTTATGATCAAAGCATATTAAAACTGCAGGAATTTCACATATATATTTGAACAGTTACAGCATTGACCCAAGCAATACAACCTAAGGTTTATCATTATTTGAGAGTTCTTTCCAAGTAATTTAACATACCAACCAAAAAGTCTAATTAGTCAAAAAGACTTCATTTACAATTCACATCTTGAGGAAGTTTGTTAAAACCCTCAGAAAGTTTTACAGTTATTTATTTTGAGAGAAAGAGAGCACAAGTGGGGGAGGGCCAGAGAGAGAAGGAAACCGAGAATCCAAAGCAGGCTCTGAGCTGTCAGCCAGAGCCCGACACAGGGCTCGAACTAACAAACTGTGAGATCATGACCTGAGCTGAAGGCAGACGCTTAACCAAATGAGCCACCCAGGTGCCCCAACCCTCAGAAAGTTTTAAATTACATGTCTAAATAGGATTATTGGTCATTATGAAACTTGAAACTTAATTATTTATTTAACCAAGGTGCCATGAAGA